CCGCGCTGCCTCTCGATAAGTGCTGCCCCCCGCGCTGCCTCTCGATAAGTGCTGCCCCCGCGCTGCCTCTCGATAAGTGCTGCCCCCCGCGCTGCCTCTCAAGATATCATACACGCGAGCGTGCACCATTGTTCTGCAGGTCTCGACCTGGGAGTGAGGCAGAACGGTGAGCGCGTGCACCACGTTCAGCTGCCTCCCTGGTGCCACGGCGACCCGCGCATCTTCATCCTCATCCACCGGCAGGCGCTCGAGTCGGATCACGTGTCGCGCAATCTGCATCACTGGATCGACCTCGTGTTCGGCTCGAAGCAGACTGGCAAGGCTGCCGTGCAGGCTCTCAATGTGTTCCATCCTGCTGTAAGGACTCTCAGTGTGTGTGCGTGTGCGTGTGCGTGTGCGTGTGCGTGTGCGTGTGCGTGTGCGTGTGCGTGTGCGTGTGCGTGTGCGTGTGCGTGTGTGTGTGTGGATGTGTGCATGTTGTGTGTGTGTGCGTGTGGGTGTGTGTGTGTGTGTCCGTGTGCATATGTGTGTGTGCACACGTGCCTCTATGGCTAATACTCACTCTACACAGCTTTTATTTAGTTATTTTAAATATTTTTATTTGGGTTCTTCTTGTCATATTCTTCTCTATACAAGCGGATAAATGAATACTGGCTGTCGTAAAAACTCAGTGAAAAATTTCAGAAAAATGTTTAATAAAGCTAGTTACGTTTATCAGTGATCGTTGGCTAATACTTGCAGACGTACTTTGGAGTGAAAGTCGATGCCATCCGCGATTTGACGGAAAGAATAGCAACAGAAACTATGATCAAGACGTACGGACAGACGCCGCGACAACTCTTCAAGAACGCACACCCGCAGCGCCCTCTAAACCGCACCGCCACCGAGAAACAGATGCTGGTAGGTGGCAGCACTGCAGCTTCTGCACATGTTCTAGCAGGTTGTAGCTTTGACTTCCTCACATTGGGGAAATGTTACGTGGACGTATGGCTTTCCTTTTTCTTAAAGTCTGAAAATCCATGGAACATAAATCGTCCACAAATCATTCTTCCTAAACCCGCCATGTTTGCTTCATTTTACATGGCGTGGCGGCATGCGCACGCTTAATATTCATCATGCAAACGTTGTAAAACAAGATGTGTTAGGAATGGGGGATCCTGCCAACCAATCGTTAATCATTTGACTGAGATTCAGTTAACACTGCTTAAATTAGAAAATCATTATCATATATT